AGCGAGAGGTCTACGGTCTTCTTCCAGTTACAAATCTACGTCGTTCGGTTTGAGTCCGGTGCAAAGTAGGGATTGGATTCGGCCGATGCGAACAAAAATCAAAATCGGTACGAAATTTTGGGGGCCCAATACCAAGTTTAATCGAAATCTATCCGGCAGTTTCCTCGATAAAACACACGGTGTGACACGCGGACAGGCACGACCTCGCTATTACGTGGTCACAGCACGCAGACGGAGACCAGTACGTCAGTGCAGGACGGGATTCAAACGCTCCTGTGGTGCGATGAGACGTTGAATGCCTGAGTGCCCGTTTTACCGCCATCACTCATCGCCCTGTTGATGGAGGCAGCAAGGACCCATGGAACGTCGGTGCGTTGTGCATTCTAGGCGTGCGGACTTGAGGGTGGATTCCAGCTGCTTTACTCCCGGGAAAGAACAGCCGACATCCACCGGAGCTCGGGACCGGTCTGACGTGCAGGCGAAGGAAGGAGGAGCCCAAGGCGTAAATGGGAGGATAATATGAAAGGGTGTGGAATGGATTAAACTGGCTCAGGGCAGGGTCCAGTGGGAGTGAATACAGTAACGAATTTTCGGTTTATAGAAATTCACGAGGAAATTCTTGAACATGTGAGCGACTATAAGCTTCTGAAAGACGACTCTGCTCCACGGGACGTCAGGTCGGTAGGCCTAACCCCCGGTACGAGCTCTTATTTGCAAGCCACAGCCCCAAGAGTCTCTCATTTTCACTATCGCTCCAAGCACACACGACCCACAGCATCTGGCTGATAAGATACCGGCTTTATTATTTTATGCTCGATTTTTACTGAACAGTTTGGTCGTTTCGGTGTTCAAATACATTTATCAGGATCGGTCGGCCATGACGGTGCCACGAGAGTACAAAATGTCAGCCTCGTAAACACACGCGATACTGCAGCAAGGTCGCCGCCATGTTTGTGATTATCAATTCGAATCAAAATGTCTCATACAGAATTCGTAGCTGCATTTATGATCACCTTTATACAAAATTTTCCACTTCGGAAATCTTCCCCTCCACTCCCATGGCCGCCATGTTAGCACTACTGCTAGTATAAAACTATATAAGCGCTGTAAAGATGGAGTGACCCCTAGTGGCATGACATTCGTATAAGGTGTGATACTAATTAATCAAATGGTTTAAAAATCATTTTGGTGAGAGGCAGTTCTTCGTAAGCCCAATTTCCTCCTAAAATCAGGAAAGTGACATTGGCCAACAACTAGAAGATGGCGTAAGATGGCGGGGAAAGAAGCCATTTTCGGATTTCACAGTCGCTGCCATGTCAGAGAACGAACGTAGGAGCGCGAGGAAACAGATCGAACTTTCCTTTTTTTCACCCTAAACGAGTGGCGCCTTTGAAGTTTGAACCCTTCTCAATCCGCTATTTGTCACAAGTATCGCGAGCAACATTGTCAAGACAGCATTGTTCTCTGCATTAGGCACGAGAGAAAAAGCCTTGCTCTGACCTCTCTTCCGTGTCCACTAATGGATGGATGTCAACATAAAACCGGACCCATTAGCTCGTTAAAGTGCACACCGCTATGTGGAACGAAAGTCACACGTCTTTTCAGAGTAGGCAGGACTCTGGCCTTGGCAGCCAAAGAATTCCTCGCTTCTTAGGGCTAAGCGATGAACGATGGACCTCATGACGGAGGCAGCGAGGACCTCCGACGTCAGACCAAGCGGCGCTGCGACCCAGAAGACAGTAGCCATTTTCACGGTCAGCTTCGCGAGTACCCCACATTCTACTAAGACGGTTCGGCTTTTAATTTGATGAAAAGGACAAAGTCTACGCCCTACGCGTCTAAGCTCCATTTTAATATCATCGTCCCATCTACTCCTAGGTCTTGTGAGCTGTCTCTTGCCTTCAGTTCCTTCCGATTAAATTTTGTGCGAATTTCTCATCCCCCACGCCCTGCCGATTTCATTCTGGTTGATTTAATCAACGTATTTATTATCTTACAGACAAACTAATTCTGTTATATTAAATCGTACAAGAAAGTTCCGTAAGCCACTGTACATTCCGCAGAACCATGTCTGTACGACACTGCGCATAAACCAAGCCACTACTTCAGCAAGGACGCCAAGCGTCCTCCGAAGACTGGCGCCTTAACAAATGCCAGCTTATGAGCGTGTGACGTTTGTAAGCATTGCTAATACAACTAGAATATTTGGGATTCAGATCTGGGAAAAATGCGTGCGACAAAATATTATTCTCGACCGTCAACAATCACACATTTAATATTATAATTGCAGATCTACTAGGAAAGTTACGCTATTGGACGATTTTCATTAAAGTGGTCAATTTTTATTGTACAGTCCGGTAAAACTGAGTAGCTATGGACTAGGCAGACTTGGGTTCGATCCTATGCAGACACAGGGACATGTTTTGTTCGACACAGTTGTGAGCAAGATCGGTTTTCAGGTCCACCCAGCCTCTTATAACCTCCTTCCCCTTTTTTCAAGAGGGTAAAACGGTAGAAAGTGTGGAGTAAGCCAATCATATCCTTCCTTCTACTGTCGAGGTCCATAATAATGCGTGGATCTTCATCTCCACTCGCCTGTACGCCTTTTAACGGCCTCGTGCTAATGAAAAGTGGGCATTCTTGCTTCTAAATTACGAACATAAATACTGATATTACGGGTGAAATGAAGCGGCCCTAGGATTATTCAAAACATGATATTTATGTTTATCCTGATGGTCGAAAGAGGGTGACACCAAGTATTTACTCAGAGTGGACTACGCAGTATAACTGAGGCAGATTTCGGACAAAATAAATTCTGTAATATATAAGTAACGTTACCTTTCTCCTATGTTAGATCAACTGCTAACTTCAGCAGGGATTCGATAATCTATCGTTGACATTTTATCGGAGTTTTATGTTAGTGAACTTCAGTACAACTTAATTAATTTAGTGTTAAATTTACTAACTGCTCGATCAGCGACAGTCCGATGCAGGCACAAAGGAATTGGCATAAAAGTGACGTATGTCAGAAAAGTTACAAGAAGGCGAGAATGCTTTTCTCTTTGTTGACTTTCAATTAATAAGAGAACAGGATGTTTTGGTTAAAAGTATAATGTGAGCCGAGTAATTTACATAGGAACTAAAACTGTTTTAACACAGACGTGTATTTTTATAATTTCATTTGTCAAAAATGTATAAAATGTAAGAACATTCTTTTTGGGGGAAGAAATTCTTAATTTGGTTTCTATAATCGACATGTTTTGGAGAAAGCAATAGTCAGTTACTGTGTTTATCCTCTTGGCAGTTTCTTCGATGACACGCAAAGAACACGACATTTCCTGTGCAAGCGTTTCGCAACCAGTGGTCCACAAACTCTAACTCGTATTACGACAGACCAAATGTTTGCTGTTTTGGAAGCAACAGTTTATTCAGGACGTTAGTTCATTTTTGCACGTTTGTCTCTCTGGGTACGTCAGTTCCGTTTATTTTTAATTCAGTTATAGGCGTATACTGACCTGACAACTTAAATTATTTCGTGTGCACTCGTGCATAAATTTTAATTCGCGTGTGTTCAGTGCGCGTGATCCTGACATATTTTCGATTTTAATATCACATAAAAGAGTCGATTTCTATATTGCAAAATAAACATGTTTTGTCGTCCTAGTAGGAACGATTAGATTTGCAGACTATTATTTCTGCTGTACAATTTGAGGAAAGTAGAGAACTCATATTACGCCGTTCTACTGTTCGGTTAATCAGAAACTTGGATCCACTGCAGTGGGCGTAACCTTTGTAGAACTGTTCTTCCTCTCGCACATTGCCAGTCGTATGAGTCATAATAAAGCAATAGTATAACGTTTCGGAAGCTGTATTCTGCTCCCGTCTTCAGGTAAGAAAGGGGAGAAGACAGAAACCCTTCCTGTTGGGTCACCCGCCTGAGGTAGCCTGGGACCACCTGGACAAGGTCCAGAGGACCCTACAGACAGGGTTTCTGTCCTCTTGTCATTCTTCACCTGAAGACAAAGCGGCTACA